TTGTCCACTTTGTTTTCTGATTTTGTTATTTGAAGAACTATTTCTAAGATGATAATGTGTAAATTATCAACTAGTGATTTCTTAGTGTAATTTTTTTGAAATTTTGTATTATTTCCACCCTTTTTTCTGTTTTGCTTTTTTTCCTCTAAAAAATGAGTAGTCACCTTCACACTAGCATGCAATCTGGTTTGACATCTCTACATGCATGCCTTTATTGATTCATTTTCCACCACATGTATTGAACTCCTGTGAGTTTTAAGCACTAAGATTAGCACTCAAAACTTAAAAATAGGTTTAAAAAGTAGCTCTTTCTGCAATAACAGTGTTTTTCATTAAATATACACACAAAAAGCCATGCACATATTTTAATAACATACTTAGTTTGAGAAGTAATACATGAGATCATTTTGAAGAACTAATTTTGTCATTTTAGAGGGTTTTGAAATCCATGTTGACCAATTACCAGCTCTGTAATTTGGCATGGGTACCCTATTGAAGGACTAAATTTCTGTTTAAAAACTGGATACTTACCTTTTTTTAGAATTAAATGAGGCAAGTAATGTGGAGTACATAACAGAGTACTGGCATATATATAGGAAACATTTCATAAATATCAGCTACTAAATTTAGATAAACATCTTTCTATAAAGAACCCACTGAGACATCTCTGTTGAAAAGCAGAGGAGGTAAGAAAAACTAATTCTTTCAAAGCAAAATAACTGAAAAATCTGGAGGATAGTTTAATTATTTGTATTTGCTAGCATTTTTAGCAAAAAAGGAAGAAGAGTTCATAAAGGCAGGAATATAGATAAAGTAAAAAAATCTATAAGGTGATGGAACATAAAACCTAACTTGGACACTGGAAACATCTGTAAGCTTTTGTTATCTTGGGCATCAGTATTTAATATCAGTTGACCTAGGCATCTGAAGATCCAAGCAAGGAAGTAAATCTGTAGGAGACCTGGACAAAAAGCTTGGACATCACTGTAAAGATGTAAGAGTTTCATTATGAGGATACGCTAAAAGAAAAAAAAAAGTTTTCATCTTACACAAAAGAAAAAAAAATAATCTTGACTACCTTTGTCTCAGCACAGGATTAAGTAGGAAAAAAAGGTTTTACTTTGGATTTTTTTAAAATGATGGGTTATTGGACAAGTTTGGAATCTGGAATTATGCTACTTACGTGGTGTCAAAAATCTCCTGTGGAAATTAAGGTCATGATAGTTCCAAATGTAATATAATCCAGGAAGTTGCTAAAATCAAACACAAATCCTCTCTGGGGAAAGTTTCAAAATATGCCCCAAAGTTTTTCCACAGGCGAAATTCGAAGAGTATGTAGTTCTGGTCAAAATCTACAGAACATACAAGGATACCGTGTTGGGTGAATTGTTTCCTCAAAATTCTTATGTTGAACTTTTAACCTGCAGTGTCCCAGAATCTAACATTATTTGTAAACAGGATAATTTATAGTAGTAACTAGAGGTTTTAGTCCATAGTCAGCCAGACTCAGGGCAGAGTAATTTTGGGTAAGGGGCTGCCACAGAGGAAAAGTGCTCACATTATGGCATCCTGGATGCAGAGAGTAAAGGAAGGATCTGAGAAGGGAGATACCATCTGCCAGGTCAAACCACCAGTGAACATTCTCTTCTGACTAGACCTTGTCTGCTAAGATCACATTTAAGTATAAAACCCACGTGATTTAAAGACCTCCTAAAATCCGCACCTATGAACAAATGAGCATTTCAGGGCATTCTAGACATAAACCATAATACTGTACCCCTTATCTCCAAACTTTCATGAAAATCTCTTTACATAAATTGCTTAGTCACCCTCTAAAATTAAAAAAAAAAAAATTGAAAGTTTTAGCAGTCCCAAAAAGTCCAAGTACAATGTCTCCTCTGATATTACACACTCTTACCTGGGAGTCTCTATAAAAATTAAAAAGTTAAATACTGCAAACTTACAAGACACAAGATAAATATTACATTTCCAAAAGGGAAAAATAGGAGGATAGAAACCAATGGGCACACATTAAACCTTATAGAGACTTATACAAGACCAACACCCTGTAGAGCAAATATTACATCCTGTAGTTCTGAATCCAGTACCTGGGGAAAGTTATGGCAATATGTAAACACCAAGTGGCTTGGGCAGGCCTATCTCTTAGTTGCATTCCCCTTAGCTTCTCTCTTGTGCTGGATTTTTCCCACTGCCTGCTGCTTTCCTTAGCTAACATCCACATTTATGGGATCTCCAGCTTCTTGGAGTTCCCAATATACTTTTGGCCTTATTCACACAGCTTCACTCACTACCATTACATAGGCGAACTCCTTTGACTCCAAGTCTTGCTTCTAAATTCTGGATGAAAATCTCTCTGAACCCGTAACTTTTGCCTTCTAGATGACTGTAAAACCAGCATCATAGGAAAGATGCTAAGTTCAGCTGCCAGTTTGAACAATAGCCAGACCCCCTTGAATTACCATTGAAATACCCTCTGAGTCCCTAACTAAGTACTGTGATAACTAAGACTGTGAACCAAGACCTAGAAATGCAAATCTTGGTAAACCAATTTCTTATCCAACCAGTTTCAAGCAACATGGCTGGGGAAGTTCTTTTCAAAGCAGTCATTGAATTTGCACTGTAGAGCTTGCAAAGGAAGGGGTCTTGCTGATTCCTGAGATCCCCTCAAAGCATCTTCCTTATTGTCCTGATGAAAAGTAATTGGATTTTTTCTTCTTTCTTTGTTTCTTTCTTTCTTTCCTTTTTTTTCTTTCTGTACTTGGTATCGAACTCACAACCTTGCTCTTGTCAGGCAGGTGCTTATGCTGCTGAGCTAAATCCCTCTCCTGCAATTGGCTTTTTTAATACTCATTTTTACAGCAGTGAACTTCTGCACAGCTCCAACTTTCCAGGTCCTTCCTTTCTGGGGAATTTTAACTTTTCAAATGGGATTTTTGCTTGTGATTATCAGAATAAACCTGACTAAAAGATACCAATGGCACACATGTCATAAACTGAATGGTGGACTGCACTGAAACTTCCTCTGCCTATTACTTAGTCTAACACCCTTAATCTCAGTATCCAACAAAGTCTCAGGACTTGAACAAAATGTAGGCAGCTTTTCTGCCAGAGCCTAACACATATACCGAGTCCCATTGCCAATGGTTTACTCATTTTCAAGTGAAGTCTTCTGAGCCTGGTCTTTACCATCTGCCTTTTTATCAGCATTATGGTTTTTTAAGCTCTGACTAGGGTGTAGCATGAAGTATGACTTAGAGCATTTTATACCTTCTCTAACAGAGATTTCCAAATTCCTCCTGAAAGTCAGTTTGACAGTCTTCTTAACAACATCATCAGGCTAAGTCCTGCAATGACTCTACTTCTCCAGCACTAAAAGCTGTCTTAATCACATTCTCATTGCATGGTGTAAGTATCTGATATCAACAAACTGAAAGAGGTGAATTTGTTATTATTCATCTTTTTCCCTAGAGATTTCTGCCCATAGTTGTCTGGTTTCCCAGCAGAAACATTCTGGTGAAAGGACCTAATACAGGGAAAAACTGCTTACACTATTGCAGCTAGAAAGCAGAAAGCACCCGAGGAACAGGGAGGGATGGCATATTTTACCAGCTCACACCACAACCAGTGATCTGTCTCTTCTAGCCAGACCCTACTTCCTAATATGAAATTTAGCCCACATGATTCAATGACCTCTCAAAAAACCTACTTAGGAGTGTTTGAGGCTTTAGAAGGACACCTAGATATTAATCATATCAAAGTTCTCCTTACTCCTGATGCTTTTCTGCTATAAATAGTTATTTGCTAGTGTCATACTACTAACATTTGTCTGCCACTATGCGTATTCTGAATGGAAGAGTTGAACTGATGTGGTAACTTACTCTATCATAATATTTGGGGAATATACATAGGCATGGTTAGTCCAAGAGCACTCTCTTTGTGGGAGTTATTTGCTCGTAAGAAGCAGGCACTTTATCTCCAAAAACGTTCGACTCTGCTGACAGAATAGGAGAGATCTTGTATTTCAAAGTGTTATGAACAGGCATTTTTTCCTAATTTTGAAAGTCGACAATAGCAATTTGGCTTTTTTAAAACTAGATTTGTGCCAATTATTAACAAAGATGCTAATTAGGCTAATTTGGTTACTCTTTTCATTTATAAATCTAACCAAAACTTCAGTGTGGAAAAAATATACACATCCTTAAGAAAATTTCATAAACTAGAATATGCCTAATTGTTTCTTATGAAACATCCAGCAAAAACAGAAAAATGAAATTCAGATTTTAGATAATGAAATTATCAAATGTAACATATAATATAATGAAAAGTATTATTTTTGAGAAATAAAAGAAACAGTGAACATAATGAAAAAATGAGACTGCCAAAACTGATGCTTTTTTACAAAAAAATTGAAATAATTCATTATAGCAGCAGTATACCCCCACAAAAGTAGAGTATATATTGCAAGTCAAAGAAAACTCATCCATAAAGAAAGTGCTGAAACATTATTAAAAAGAGTGTGTTCAGAAATTAGTAATTTTGTTTAAATATCTAAGTAAATATTAACTGCATAAATAATAATCATGCCCTTGTTGGTTATTAAAATCAAAGTATACCTAAAATCTAGAAATATAACATTTTTTGCAGAAGGTGATATTCTAGTCCTGCATTACTAAGAGAAGTGTAAAACTGTTGAATAACTGTAGAATTTGCTAAATGTGGATGTTGACATTTTGTGTAAATATAGCATAAAATTCCTAAAGCTCCCAGTCAATAAAAGCTAAAGGAATAGAGTATGAAAGAAAAATATAAATGAAACAGCACAATAAATACCATTCAATACATGGGTGGCAAAAATAAGTCTTAGTCATACTTGTGATTACTATAAATTTACATTGATTAAATGATCCAGTTAAAAGACAATGATTGCAGACTGAATAAAAAAATGAAATACAATTTTATAGTGCTTAAAATAAATATGTATACTTACCTGGCAAGGAAGATACCATGATAATGAACGTGGTTTTCCTAGGGCGAGTCTTATTCATTGTACTCCAGGTGTGCTGACCCCTGAAATTACCCCCAAATGTGGAAAATTCAACTGCATAATTTGTGGTACTGAGAGACTGCATTCACATTGTCCCCTGAAAAAAATACATATGAAATTTTTAATTCCAGAGAAAGATCAAAATTAATAAATGGCAGAAGTTATATCAGGCAAATACCAACCAAATGAAAGCTAATATATTAATCTGGCAAAAGATAATAAATATGTGAGTATATGAAAAGTATAATTAATAATCATTATCTCAAGGACTTGACAATTTTAAAGTATACATGATTTTCAACCACATAGAGAAAGTTATTAAGCTAGACTATGTAATAATTCATAAAACAGTGCTGAATTTTTACAAAATAGGTATCATGGGGATCACATTATTTCATCATATATAGGCTAAGTTAGAAACTTGAAGTTATTAAAAGTTTAAACAAATGGTTTGAGGAGAAATGCTTAATGTGAAAAATGACAAATCTATGTCAAATTCCATATTTGATGTAATTAAAAGTTTAAATTGTGTGTATGTGCATATGTGTGAGCATAATTTGAGGATCTGAGTCTCAGAGTCACATAGAAGAACAAAGGGTAGCTATAACCATGACCTGATGATCAAGAACCAGATGTTAAATTCATATATAATTCATCAGTAACATACTAAGCATTGTTTAAGGATAACTAGATAGTATTGTAAGTAGTAAAAAAATCTTCCAGAAATAGACCATCATATGTTAGAAATGACTTACAAAGGAGCTGGCTTTGGAGATCAGTGGCTATCGTATAGAATATTCAACAAATTATGATTGAACAGTTGATTATGCATTTAAGAAATATGACCTGTATCATAAATATAATAGCTTTCTGGTTTATTAAAAGTAAATATGCAAAGCAGCTTCAAAACTTTAAAACCTTTTAAAATGTTTATGACCCAATATAGGGAAGAATTTAGTAAATAACATACCAACAGTACAATTGACAAGAAATTTTTGATAAATTTGTCTACATAACATTCAGCAACTACAATAAAAATTAAATGGGAAATAACAAATTGTAACAGATGCAACAATAAGAAAGTAATTGACATTTTATTAAAATGAGCAAAAATTATGCAATTATTCCACGGACTGGGAACACAGAAGACCAATGCATATACGAAGCATATCTACAAAAAAGAGATACATACCACAGGACTAGGAAATTCCAGTCCTATCAGTACTCTCTAGGGAAACTCCTTACACCTTTTCACAAGAAATTAGGTATATCCCTGTTTGAAGTAGAAAAATAATAAGTTTAAAAAATAAACAATATCAATCAAAAGAAATACTGAAAACAGGTGGAGGAAGAAATATAAAAACCAACAAGTGTCTGGAAACAGGAGACAGGAAAAACAGTGTGTGACATATTACAGAATGGGATCATATGCCAAGTCTCAAAAAATGACCCAAAATATAGGTATCAACAAGAAAGAAATATACAATCAAGAATAAACATAAAGTCAAGTAAAAATAGTAACAAGAAAACCTTAATACTAGACCAAAACAAAGGAAAAACAAATCTCAGAGGCTAACTCAACATGTGACTCAATTTGTATTAAATTGAAAAGTACACAAAATTAAACAACATATTAATTAGGGATTTGAATGTGTTTTAGAAACTGAATAGGAGCCAGGCATGGTGGCTCACACCTGTAATCCCAGTACTTGGAAGGTTGAAACAGGAATATCTCTTTGAGCTGGAGGCCAGGCTTACTTACAAAGTGAGTTCAAGCCCAGCCTGAATTGCATAGGGAAAGCCTGTTTCAAACACAAAACAAAACAAAACAAAACAAAACCCTCAGCAGCAGCAGCAGCAGCAACAACAACAGCAACAAGAACAACAAAAAGCACATTGAATGGGAATGATAAATGAAAAAACAATCTAGTCATAATTGTAAGAAGAAGAATTAAAATAGAGGGAAGTGGGTTTAGAAGGAACATAGCATGGAGCTTCAATATTCAGTCAGTGTTAATAACATAAGCTAGGAATGAAAAAGGAGGTTAAATTAATTTTGATTTTTCATGGGTTTATGTGTATAAATTATTTTAGTTAATGCATTTTGAATTTACATTTACAACAAAATTATTTGGGATTTATAGAGCTTTCATATATTTACATATGTACAATCTCCCACACTATGCACTCCTTTACAGGAGTTTACTTGTTACAATCATTGTACCTACACTGATATGTTACTATCACCTAAAGTTCTTAGCTCATTTTTGGTTCAGTCTTGCTATTGTTTATTCTATGAGTTTAGATAAAGGTATAATGACATGTGTCCACCATTATAGTACCATGCAGAATAAATCATTGCCATAAAGATTCTATGTGCTCTATTTATTCTACCTTATTCCCTCCTAACTCCTAAAAATCACTAATATTTTTAATATCTCTTCAGTTTTGATTTTTCCAGAATGTCATGGAGTTAGAATCATACAGCATAGTCTTTTTGAGATTGACTTTCTTCACACAGGAATATGTATTTAGGTTTCCTCTATGCTCCTAGATTGATAGCTTAGTGCATTTTAGCCCTGAATAGTACTGCATTGTCTGAATGTACTACAGTTTATTCATCCATTCATCTACTAAATAACAATATCATTTATTCCATGTTTGGCAATTATGAATAAAACTGCTTTTAAAAATCCATGAACAGATTTTGTGTGGACATACTTTCAGTTCATTTGTATAAATAATAAGTGCTGTTACTGCTAGATTGTACAGTAAAGGTATTTTTTAGATGACTACGAAACTGTCTTCAAAAATGGCTGTATTACTTTTCATTCTCATAAATAATGAGTGCTATTTTCTGTTGGCCCAAATTCTTACTAGCATGAATGTTGTGAGTGTTTTTATAATAGTTGTAGAGAAACCTTTGTAATACGCAATGCCCAATGACATTATATAGAATGTCTTGTCTTTGGTTACCTGCCATCCATATTTCTTTATGGAGATTATTTAGAAGTTTTGCCTACTTTTAAATTTGTTGTTCATGTTCTAATTGAGCTTTAAGTATGTTTTGCAAATTTTGGAAAATATCTTTTATCAGATATTGCTTTCACAAATGCTTTCTCCCAAAATATGTTTGGGTTTTCATTTTCTTGATACTGTCTTTCACACAGTAAGAATTTTTCTATGTATTGTTTTTATATTTTTCTCACTGAAAATTTTAAAAAGAGTTTTCTTATTAGAGCTGCATTTTAGCATTTTAATTTCTTCTTGAACATCACTTTTTATCTTGTTTTGAGAAGTGTAAAATGCTATAACAAGACTTAATTTTTTACAGCTTGCCCTTTATCACAATGCACATACTGTACTTCATTTCAATTGTACAGAAAAAAATACTCCAGTTTTCTGTTATGCTATCTTGGTGTCTTGACATATAATAATGCTTCATGAAAGGGGCAAGGGATGTGCAGGAGTTATCTTTACAGCTAAACATAGCACAATACACTAGCAAGCTAATTTGCCTAGGTCTATGGTAAAACATTCAGTCAAGGAAAGTATTGCTGCTTCATAAAATCTCAGACATTGTACCACGGATATTATTCATTTCACAATTTTTCTTACTGTATCCCTATAAAGGACAGAATAGAAATTCTGAATGGCTTATACTGAGTATCAAAAGAAAGGAAAATTGCTGGAAAAGTCAAGGATTTTTTAACCTTCCTTTTGAGTAATATAGTAAGCCATTCAAATAAGTAGGTTCTCTGCACTCTACACATGTAGACTTCCATGGATGAAGTCCTTTCTCTATAAGTAGCCAACTTGCTGTCAGCTCCAATATCAGATCCTTCAAAATCAGTGTTTCCATAATGAATCCCCACCTAGCATGACCACCTCCTTTACTGTTCAGAAATCATTGAACACCTAGAGCAGATCAGAGCTGGTTCTCACCCTAGTGAAGATACTGACAGTAGCCAATTGTGTGTAATTATATGTAGACAACTGTGTTCTTGAAACTCAATGAGGGCAAAGAGAGATGAATTTCTAACACAGTGTTAAGAGCATAAAGGATAGTTCCTTGTTTATCAAGTCATTTGGATTGGATAGCATGTCACTACTTAGCATTTGGACAACAAACCATTCAAAAATCTTTATTTTGTCTAAGTTATACAGCCAAAGAGAGAGCTTATTTGTACATTTGGTGTTTTTTTTTGTTGTTTGTTTGTTTGCTTATGCATTTGCTGGATTTAGGACAATAAGTGTAAATCCTTTGCTCTTTAAAACAAGCAGTTTTTGCCCTCCGTATAAAGTTGCCATTAGTTGAATCAACCCCATTTGAGAATTCAGTTATTGCAACTTACTCAATATTGTTTGTATGTGTGTTTCATGTTCAAACTAGTTGGAGTACTGAAACATCTGAGGTTTGGGCCTCTTTATTTTTTGGGTCAGAAACATGAATGGGTTTTTTTCTTAAGGGAAATATAGGTGTCTATAAGTTAGATACCATTTAAGATTTAATGGATATAAGGTTTGGATTTTGGTTAACTTTTTAGTTTGATAAGATATAAATTGGCTCAAACTACTGGCCTATTTGATTTAACTTAATAACTATGAAATTTTAATGCATATCCGTTGTAGTCTCACCATGATAACTTGGTAAATCAGAACAATATCCTGTTAGCTTCTTTCTGGGCCAGCCGTCACATGCCACCTGTCCCTCTCCAAGGCCTTAGGGCCTCAACACTGTGGAGAACTATAAAAAGTTTCAACATCCAGCACCACCTGCAACATTGCAAGGTCTATTGGCCCAATTTTTCTGCTTTGGTTGATGATAATCCATAGTTGAACTGCACAGTGTTGCAATAATGAAAGAACATTTTTATGGACAGTTTTCTGGCACTGTAGATTTTTACTAATGAACAAAGTAGAGTAACCTTTTTGTCTTTGCCATTGTTTTTAATGAAGTTTTATTTATTTTGATTTATTTTATTTTGTTTTCCCTTTAAGAAGACAGACAAGCAGGAATTCTTCGTGTGCATACATTGTAGTAAATATATTATGTTTTATTGCAAAAAAGACAGTGATAGATTTGGTTAATTTTCATCA